TCCAATTCACTAAATAATTGTCCCGATTACGAGAGAAGCTAGAAGTATAAGTCATAGGAATAGAATCAAAAGAAACAAAATGCTATTTCATTGATGTACTATATTTAGCTAACCTATCAATCACTCTACTTGCTTCTTAATGGACATGTACAATTAAAGAACCCTTCATAGCTGGGGATAGTGGTACCTATTAATCTATTTACAATTTTGATTGATAAATATTAATTTTAAAATTTAATTAATTTTTCATATTAATTATGTTATTTTATTTTTTAAAAAATTAATTCAACTAATTAATCTCTTTTGATAATATTTATATTAAAAAATTAATTTACAATTTAAATTTAAATTTAAATATAAAATAATGTCTCTTAAATTAAATTTATTTTAATATTAAATTCTATTTTTTCAATTTGAGAACTTTAATTTTACAGTGTGATACATTTTAATTTTTTTTAAAAAAAACCCTATTTATGTAAAGAAAACAATAATATTATGGTGCACGAGATCTAAAGGAGCTCATGTATAGTATCGGTGCATCATGTTTTAGGTATCTTGAGAGTTTAGTCGATAATTGTTAGGAAGAGAAAACAACAGAAAGTCATGCTGAGTGATGACCCATGGACGAAAGCAACCATTATCTGAACTGAAGTCTCGACTCGTAGGGACAAGGTTTCGACCAGATCCACGCATTTTTGTCCAAAAAATGTGTATATGTATATATATAAAAGTTAGTATTTGTCTGCTCTACTTTTAAAAAATTAAGAGTTCAGCACTTGATGACCTAATGATCACCCCTGTCAAGACGTGCTTAGGACTAAAGAGTTTGGGATCAAATACCAAGCCTCTTCCCCCTCCCAAAAGAAAAAAAAGAATTTCACACTGTTTAAAAAATATATATATAAATTACCTTAATATATATTTTAAAAATAAAATAATTTAATCTTTTTCAATAAAAATTTATTGAAATAGTATAATTTTGAAATAATTTTTTTTCTAATTTTTAAAAAATAAAGTAATAAACACTATTTTCATATATATATATATATATCATACTCCCATTAATTATCAGCCGTGGGTTTTGATTCTTGTAGCGCCAATCACTTGAGTAAAACAGGAGAACAATTAGTGTACCGTGTGCGGCTTACCACCGCAGCAATAATTTTATGTGAAAAATAATTTATATACTTTAAATTTTATTTATTTTTTTTTTTTAAACTTTTTGATATAGGACAAGTTTGAAATCCACCAAGAAAAAAGGAAAATACATTTTTCAATGATTAGTATCATTGGGCTTGTAAGGCTAAGTGTTATTTTTTTGTATATATTTATTTAATTTAGTTATTAAAATATAATATAAATATAATTAATATAATTAATTTATATATATATATATTTGAGGATAATGGAATGGATTCATTACAAAGACCGCTATACGGCATCTACAAAGATAACAAATGGTAAAAACAACTGGAACAAAAGAATAGAGTAGACCCATATCCAGAGGCCTGAAGGGGGTGCACTCAGCACTCGAACAACCACGAACGCCCCGGAAATACCACGGCCTTCGGTCGACCGATCCATACGGGACATCCTTCAATCTACCCTTGAAGAAATAACACCAGGCTCCAGGATGCCGTGCGGTCACCTGATCTGGCGGCGGAAGACCCTCGGAACCAGCAGGAGAGCCGCGGTGGGCGTCAAATCTGGAAGCCCTCGCGTGCGCCACCTCAGATCCGTCGGAGGAGAAAGAAAGCCGCCGAATCTGCACCAACAGAACAAAAAAGAAAAACCCAACGAACCCCTACCAAGATCAACAGGAAAGAGCCGAGGGTCGCCAGATCTGAGAAAACAAACTGTACAAGAAACTAAAACTATACAAAACAACCAGAAAACAAAAAGAGCAAAAGGGGTTACCGGAAAGGGACCCATAAACCAACAAACCTCGAAGGGTCATCGGAGGATAGAGCAAAGGCCGGCTCCAGCATGCTTGAGCGGCCAGGGATCCCCTAACGGCTCAAGCATTAAAACATCGGAAGCTCAAAGGCTTCCGACCAAAAAAACCACCGCGCCAGAGAAGGTAGGCAGATGCAAGAGAGAAAGGAGAGAAAAGGGGAAAGAAGAAAGATGATTTTTTAATTAATTTTTA